AAACTTAAAATTTAATACCAGAAGAATCTAAAAAAGAATTAAGAAAGAAAAATTTTAGATTTATGTATTTAGGACTTATAGTTATAGGTATTAAAGGATTAATGAGAAAAAATTTAGGACGTAAATTTTAATTACTATATACGATGAAAGAATCAATAATACAGATAAAAGCCAAATAGCTAGTATGGAAGTAGACATGAATAGTAATAATGGAATAATTTACTGTAATCCAAATTTTCTAATAACTATAAAAGATTTTTCAGAAAAAATTAAGATTGGAATTCAAACAAAAGGATATGAAGACGTGAAATGTGGAGATAATTTATTAATACATATAGGATTCTTAGGGAGATGCTCTAATAATTCACAAACTAAATATAAAATTTAAATAGTAAATTTAATGAGTAGTAAAGGAATTAATATGGTAAGACCCAAAGAATATTCATCAGAACAATTAGCAGGATTAGAATGAGATATTGATAGATTTTTAGAAGACAGACAAGAAAAAATTTTAGCACCACAAGAATCATTAACTTATAAAGATATAAATGGAAGAAATAGTTTAAGATTCTTAGATTATAATCAAATACAAAATAATAATTTTGAAGAAGAATCAAATCAATCTAATTCAGAAGAACAAGAACAAGTTAATGAATATGTTCATATAGAATTATTAGAAGAAAATTTAGATAAAATAATTTTCCCTAAAGAATTAGGAATGATATTAGATAAAAAAGAATTATTATTATTAGAAGATCAAATGTATATTAATCAACAAATAAAAGAACTTGAATATTTATATTATGACTCAAATTTAAATATAAGGATAGGAATAAGTAAAGAAGAAATAGAAGAAACTAGATCAGAAAGATTTGATTATAAAGAACTTATGGATGCTGAAAATATTTATAAATCTTTTGATGAGACGTCTTTTGATAGAACCATAAAACATGAGACATTAACTTATGGATATGGTTATTCTCCAAGAGGAGCTTATAATATTTATAATAATCCACCAGAAAATACTAAATATGTTTCAAGAGGAAGTGAAAGACCATTAGAAAATAAAATAGAATTTCAAACAGCCAATAAAGCACAAATATTAAATATTACAGTACATGATTCACAGACATGGACAAATGTAATAGATGTATGGAAAAATACTATAATAGGACATTTTATTAAAAAATTCCAAGAAATGGAACATTTAGATATGTATAGGTATTTAGAAACATTTTTAGGAAAAAATACTAAAGCAATGTGGGAAGCATTTAAAATAGAAAGAAAAGAAGAATTTGAACAATTAGTAAGCCTAGGAAGTAACCCTTATAATTTTGTTAATAAAATTCAGATATTAATTACTGGAGCAGATCCAAATTCAGGACACATGAGTATACAAAGGAAACCAATGAGAGACTTAGAACAACTTAGTTTATATAAATGGACTAAAGGTAGACATGTTAAGAGATTTTTAAATGAATATTATTACTTAGTAACAATTTCAGGAAATACATTTAATCAAGAAATAGGAAATAAGTTATTTCATAAATTACCAGGACAATTAGGATTAGAAATAACAGACTCATGGAATAATTTAAATTCAGTAAAAGAACATCCAGAAAAACAATGGAGCATAGAACATAAAATACAATATGTAATAAGATGTTTAGAAGGAAAATGTGTAGAACTACAAATACAAAAACAACTTAAAAAGACATTATATAAATTTTGTAAAGACATTTTTACACCACAAACATATGGGGCATCTAGTTCAAAGAATTATAAGAAAAAATATAAAAAAGATAAAAGACCAGTTAGGAAAAAATATTTTATTAGAAAATCTAATAAAAGAAAACCTTATTTAGATGAAAAAAGACATGTTAGAAAATTTAAACCAGATAGAACTTATAGAAATAAACTTAATTACTATGTTTGTAATAGTAATGAGCATTTAGCCAAGACTTGTCCAAAAAGAATAAACAATAATGATAAAAAAGTACATTAATAGAATGCACTAATGAAGATTTAATACAGGTAGACAAGTATGTATCAGATAAAGAATCTATATATAGTATAATATCTATTGAAGATAGAAATCTGGAAATAGGATAAGAAGAATCTGATATGAGATTTTAGATTTAAGAATTAATAATGAATCAGAATAAGAAGAAGATATAGAACTTGTAGAAATAGAGGATTGTGTACATAATTGGCAGAAAAATACAGGAACATATAATATAGCATGTCATTTATGTTTTTGGTATCCAGTTAGAAAATTAAGAGCAAAATATTTAGAATATTATAAAGAAGCGTGTATTAAATGTTTAGAAAATAATAATTTAATAATTAAAGAAGTAAAAATAGAATTTACTCAAGAGCAAATAGAAATTTTGGAAATGAGAATTCTTAGGAAAAGAATTGAAAATTTAAAAGAAATGTAAAAGTTATTTATAAGAAGAATAGAAATCTTAGAAAATAATAAAGGAAAAAGGATTATAAAAGAAAACTAAGACTCAATACAAACAGAATATATAGTAGTTTGTAATTCAGAAAAGTTAAAAGATATTAAGATAAAATGTCAAATTAGAATAGACAATTATATTATAAAATGCTTAGGACTTATAGATTCAGGATGTAGTAATTGTGTAATTAATAAAAGATTAATACCAGATAAATATATTGTAAAATCAAAAGAACCAGATAATGCACAACAAATGGATGGAGAATCATATACATATACAGAAAAATTAAAACCAAAAAGTAAAATTAGTTTTGAAACTAATTGTGTATTAAGTATAGAATATACATTACCTATAAAATCTACATGGGTAAGACCATTAAAATTAAAAAATATAGATTTTATTATTGGATTAAGTTTTTTTATTAAAAGACAATGGTAGTATAACAATTACTAAAGATTTTGTACATT